GGGGGGCGCGCACTAGCTGCGCTCCCCACCCACAGCAGACCAGGGAGAGACGGAGCAGTTTTTCTCACTGCAGAGGACGCGGGCGGCGGGACCGCGGCACGTCTGGGCGGTCCTGCCGCCCACATCCTCCGTGGCGAGAAAAGCCCTGTTCGTATGTAGGGATCCACGTAACTCAGGGACTGCGTATAGTGATGATGGAAGCAACATAGGCCTTAAACAGGGCAGTCTTCTTCAAATCATCCATTACTAGTTTTCCTTCCCCCCCCCCAAATATCCAACCTACATTTTCCATTGTCTTTCTCTTGCTCCTAACACATTTGTAGAACCTCTTTTATGTTCCTTGCTAGGTATATCTCATTTTGTGCTTTAGCCTTTCTGATTTCATAGCCACTCATTTACTGTTCTTTTGTACTCACCCTTAGTAATTTCTCTCCATTTTTGTAGGATTACTTTTTACTTCATCTTCAAACCCCTTCTGTTAGTGCCTAGTGCATCACATTCAAGCTCTTTGTTCTCATTCTCATCACGCTACATAATCTTACTCTCATCTACATGTCTTTTCCCATTTACTCCTATTTCTACCTTTCAGTATGCTAAACTCAGCACCACCTCTTGCTTTAAAGCTGTCCCCTTCATTCTTACCTTCACACCTTTCAACATCTCTTCCCTGAACTTGAAACTACACTCCGCTTTCTACCCCTCTTTAAAACACATTTTTACAGGAATCATTCCTATATTCTCATCAATAATCTCCTTTATCTCTTACAGCTCTTGTAGTATCTTGTTTTAAAAAGGCAGACTTGGAACACGGGTGTCCTTATATATCAGAAAATACTTCACCACATGCCAAAGTATTTCCTTAAGAGACAAAACTTATATTACTTTTAGTTTTAAAATCTCACTTGAAGACAGAATTAAAAATACATCATTAATCCAGAGACTAATCTTCAGAAGATCATCTTACCCTATTTAAAATGTAAACCCAGTGTGTTTTGTTCCTTAGCATTATTGCAGTTGCCACAAGGAATATCATAGCAACATATTGGGGGTGAGGGAGGATCAGACTGGTAGCAGTCTTCTGGAATTTTCACCTTCCTCCACAGTGTGGGATGCAAGTTGCCTGCTAGGATCATCTTTGTGCAGCTTTCAATCAATTTCCTGCCATTCCAAGGGCCTCAGGCATTGGTGGACATTGGTTCCTCCTGTTCTCTGCCTGTGGCGCACAGTGGTCAGTCTCCTGGAAGCTGAAATACCTTAGACTAATTTTGGTAGTGGCATTTAGCATGCAGGGCGGTGCTGGTGCCCTGTGTTTACAGGAGGTCAGTCAGATCTGGTGACCCTTTCTGGCTGGAAAAGCAGCCATCTGTCTACTAAATCCTAGTTCTCCTAGCAGGTTGGGACAGTCACTGGACTTGATGGAACTCCATAAAGCACAGCATCAAAGCCATGAAAAGGTTAGCAGGAGCTAGGCAGCCTAGGAGAATGCCACCGGTTCCACGTTTTCTAATGCATTGCCTCCCTTATACAACAGAGAAATTACTTGACATAATAGCGATCAGATGCTCACAGACTTTCACCCCCATGGGCAGCAGATATAAGAGGCAGGGAAAGGCATTGCCTTCTCAAACGGCCACGCATGGTCCCACCCACACTCCGCCCCCTGCTTCAGCATGGCTGCCAGGCTTCAGCTGTGCCGAAGTGGGGATTAGCGGTACCTATCACCCTTACTGGGTAATGCTGACCGGTCTCCGTTAACCGGTGGGGGCTGGAGCGGCTCCCTACGGCTAAGCCCCAGCGATGTGGGGGGCGCAGGAGCCCCCCCCCTCGCCCTGCGAGAGCGCCCCACGGCCGGAGCCGCCAGCCCCCAGCTCAGGCGGGGGGGAGGCTCCCGCGCAAGGGGAGCGGGATGTCGCTGCCCTCACCCGGGGGGCGAGCGGCGCAGGAGACACGGCCCGGGCTCCCAGCCCCGCCCCCGCGGTACCTGCTGCTCCACGGCGGCCGCTGGGCGCCTCTCCCGCTCGTACAGAGCCACCGGCGCCCTGGTGCGCGGGTTCACGGGCGTCCTGAGGCAGGAGGCGGTGAGGAGCGCAGCGCGGTGCGCCGCGTCCATACTCCGCGGTCAGCGGCTCTGGCTCCCAGCTACAGCGGTTACCGGGGACGCTACGGCACCTCTACTAGGACAAACCTATGCGGACTGCGAGTCACAGCCCCAAGCTGAGACTCCGCCCTCCTAGAGCCCTTCCGGACCGCGGCGCGACAGGAAGTTCGGGGACCCCGGAGTGCGGAGATTCCTGCCCCGCTGTTGGGGAGGAGGGGGCTGTCAGTCCTCCCTTCTGAGAGTTGCTGCGCCTTTCTGCTCAGGCTGTTCCCAGGAAGGCTGGATGCACACCCCGCGCCAAGTTAGCTTCCTAGATCAGTTCAGCGTAAGGGTAATTCAGTGCTAGATGGGCTGGAACCACAGCCGATGGGCAGATGTATCTTTGTCAAGAGTGCTTCGAGTCTCCACTCGATATGCTTGCAATGGTTTTGTGCCACTTCTGCTGCTCAAGCTATGATCAGTGACAGAAGGTGCTACCCTCTCCCTTCCCAAACCCCCTAGGGATAAAGCAAGTGTATTTCAGCCAACTTTCATTGAACTGAAACATGGGAACGTTATCCCAGTTGGGGGAGTTAATTGGCCAGAGACCAACTGAGTAGCTCTTAGAACAGGGGTGAGCAAGATGCATCGGGTTAATCAGTCCACCCCTACAGCATAGGACACCCAAAGCGGGAAGCTGATCCTTGTTCCTTCACTGGGGGGAATGGGAAGAGGCTTCCCCTGGTGCCCCACAGTCAGCAAAATCTCTCTGCCTGTTTGCCAAAAATCCACCAAAGGGAGCTAAGAGATTTTGCTGGAGGGAGTAGAAGCGCATGAACTCCTCCATCCCCCGCCCACATCACAGAGCCACATGGAACAGAAGGCATTTAGGGTTGTCGCCAAGCACTGAAGCTTGTTTGGAGCGGTCAGCTGTCCAGTAGCTGTTTGCATAAGCATTTGTTAGCAAGAGCCTCTCTGGCACCCCACCCCCTCCAATGCTCCTATTATGTCCCAGACTCTGCACACTCTGCTACACTCCCAGAATGTATCCTTAACCCCTCCTGGAGCCTACACCCCAATGCGCTGGACCAGGTCACAACCTCCTCCTTCACCCAAACTTCCTCAGATCCCACCCCTTTTCCTGCACCTAAGTGGCCTGCTCCTGAACTCCCTTCTACTCTCAATCTGTAGCCAAGACCTCACCGTCTCCCCCCACACCTAGAAAAGTGTGACCTTGACTACTTACCAAAAGCTTGGAGTCTCGCCCTCCACCAAAAATTATCCCTAAACTACATACAAAGATGTTTAATATTAAGTCTTGGATTGCAAAGATCTGTAAAGTCAGCATAAGATCTATTTTGGCAGCATATTTCCTTAAGGCCCAAATATGAAAGATATCTAAAACTGTATTTACAAAATTAGATCAGCTTCAATCCTGTAATAGGGTGTTTGGCATGTTTATTACCAACCTTGTGTGACAACTAATGACCAAATACTAGAATGTGATCCTGAAACATAACTTACAAAATCTCAACTAATAAGTATTTCCATTTGCAGTTAATGAAGGAAACTTCAGCAATTAAAGGCTAGAAGCCTTTGTCACGGGTAGCTGAAGTACAATGAAATTTATTAAAGGTGTGTTGGCTGAGACACAAGACATTAGCATATAGGCATTAATGGACAAGGAAACATTTGCAGAAAGAAATGTATACTTTAAATTATAGGGCAAAGTACAGTCCTATACTTGCCATGCACCCTAGTGGCTGTAACAACTCCTTGGGTAGGAGAGGAAGGATGAACTATTGTTTTGGATGAATTTTGCAAAAACAGATCTGAGGTAGTACAGTTATTACTAAGATTCCATAGTAACAGATTCAGAGGGGTAGCTGAATTAGTCTGCAACAGGAAGAAAAACCAGATAGTCTTTAAGGTGCTACTAGACTAACAAAACATATAGATGGTATCATGAGCTTTAGTGTCCACAAAAGCTCATACCATTTACGTATTTTGTTAGTCTTTAAAAGATGCTACTAGACTATCCGTCGTTTACGTTTTTCCACAGCAAGAGAATTATTTCAAAAGGACAGATTTCAGAAGCTAAATTTAGATATCAAAATAGGTTCAAGTAGTGAGAAAGAAAGTATATGATTAACAACAGCAAAACTAGCAAAATGTTAGTATCATTTGGTGAGTTTTTAATGCAGATTTTCAATTATAGAACATTGTCTTTCACTTATGAACTAAGTTTGTCTCGAGAGCAGAGAATTTATTAAATTAAGTTGATAAAAGTACATAAACGTAAATTAATTTTAGCAGAATGCTTGACACACGGATTCTTTGAAGAAACCATACTCCAGACTACACCGTAGATACTCTGGGCTGTACTGCCATTTCCTTTAGTCATCTTAGCGAGTGTTCACCTGCAAAGATGAGTTAACATGATCAGATTATGTGGATGGGAAACAATCAATATCCCTCATCTTAAAGCGATCACTTCATACATAATCCTTTTGTATCCTGTGCTTTAATCTGGCCTGCTGTGTTTACTAATACTTGGTTTTGAGTACTGTTTTCCCAGAAGACTTGTTTCATTTTTAACAGTTATCAGGAAACTGCTGAATTACATGGAAAGGGCATATAACTATTCACTTTAAATATGAATCCTTTACACAAGGGATATACCTTGTTCATGTCACTGTACTGCAACATTAACAGAACATGATAATAAAAAACATTACTTACCACATCATCAATCTTAAGAATACTGCGGACAGTTTCTGTAGCTAGTGTCAGAGCACTGACAGACACCAACAGAGGCTGGACCACCAGCTCCTCCAGGATATTGGAAATTCCACCCTACAAAACAAGAATTATAGCCTCAGCAGTATAAAGCAAACAACAAATTTGATTTTAACATACCTGTAAATTATCCCCAGTAGCCTCCTATCTAGCATAATTTTAAAAAGAGAAAACAAATACTTTATCAGCAAATAACCACACACAGTTCATTTGAATGCACTCAGGTCACAGCAGCTGAGTGAGCAGGAATTTTACCTGGTGGCTACATCTGATGCTCTCGCATCCAAACATGTTTCATTTTCAAAAAATTAATGTCTCTAGTTCTTATGGCTGAAGAGAACTACTGAGGCTAGCATCTCACAGGTTGTTTTCCAGCCATCTTTGCTAGTTAAAAATGTATTTGGCTGCTAAAGTCTCAGGTGCACTCTAACTCACCTTCCTTACTCACACTACAGGATTTTTAGAGTGCACCTGAGATTTTAGCAGCCAAATATATTTAAACTAGCAAGATGACCGAAAAATAGGATTGCTAACATATGGAAAATTGAGGTTTTGGGAACAAAATATTGTCCCATTCAGAACAAAATATAAACTTGAAATTTCTCATGGGACAAATTCTGAAAAATCTCATTTCAGGAGAAGCAAAATAATTTTTTTAGTTTGTTGTCTGTCCATCTGAAAGATGATGAAGAGGCACTCAGGCTACACAGGAGACGGCGCAGTGGGCTGCTCTGCCTCCCTGCAGATTCTAGGTAGCCTGCACAGAAGTCATAATTTCAGTTTCTCAACCAAATGGAACTTTTCAGTTGGAATATTAAATTTTTGCAAAAAGGGCACTTTCAATCAAAAAAAAGTCTGATAAGATTCCTAACCATGTCTACAACTAGTCAGTTTTAAAAGCAGTTTTCTCAGACCATGAAAATTGTTATATTGCAATGATATGCAAGGTTGATTGAGGAGGGTTTTGGGCTACAAGTTGGGCAACCTTTGTCTGTCTTTATTCTCAAGTATATTCCATCAAAAGGATCAAACTGTTTAACTGACCATCATTCATATAATCCTTTTGTATCTTACCTTTCTGACATTAATGCCTGCTGTTTTCTCTCCTTGAGCATGTCTGTTTCTCAGCTCTGTTACCGTAGAAATAGGGTTAAGACCTGCATTTTCAGCCAGTGTAGATGGGATGACTTCCATTGCATCTCCATATGCACGGACACAGTATGAGTCCATACCACTCAAAGTACGAGCATACTCATTCAAGCGAAATGCTAACTCTATCTCTGGTGCTCCACCTCCTGCAATTAGAGCTCTGAGGGGGAAAAAGTAAAATTCTGTTAAAAATACAAGCTGTGGTCTTTGACAAACATTTAAGTGCTTACAGTTTACTGTATGATTTGTGTATGAAGCCACTATATATGAAGAAAGCATTACCTTTTTTTTACTAAACAACGTATGACACACAGAGCATCATGAATTGAACGCTCAGCTTCTTCCATAACTAGCTTGTTGGATCCACGTACAACAATTGTAACGGTTTTTCCAGGGCTTGCACAGCCTGTTACCTAGAACATAAGAACAGCTGGACTGAAAAATCTTAAGTTTAAAACCTGGGACATTAAGCCCTTATAATTTTCATTCCTTGCTAATGGGTAAGGTCTGAGATTTGACACACAATTACCATTTGAGCTCTGGTAAACCAGACTAAGTTTTCAAAGTCAGTAAAATGAAATAAGTCCATTGGGACAGAAACACTCTTCTTTTTGCATTTGTGCAGCACCTAAGGTCCATAACTAGAGCTTGCTGGTGATATACAGAAGCAAATACTTTTGAATATCCCTAATTTAGAGGTCTTTGATCCGGGAACACCCATGGTTTGGATCCTGGCAGAGGGAGGCCTTCATGCTACCACTCTCCCTCCCTCCCCCATAGCTGTGGGGAATGGCAGCACAGCAAAGTGCTTGCCCAGAGGTTTTTTTCGCCCCACTGCTCCCATAGCAGCTGGGAGTGGTGGGGGACACGGAGCCACACGCCCCCCAGTACAGATGTGCCTGGTAGGCACCACCTCCTTCCCCCTCTCTCCCAGGCTCTGAATCCTCACTCCCCAGCATGCTCCTGCACCTTCACTCCCAGGCCCACACCCTCCAGTGTGCTCCTGTAGCCTCTCTCCCTCCCAGATCCTGTATGTTACACGTTAAATAAAAATTCAGTACTTTAAAAATAAAAACATTTTGCATCAACACCCATGAACCAGAAAATACCATAATCTGGAATAGCCTAATTTCCTAAGGTTGACTGATTAAAGAGTTTCGAGCATACTGGATACTTCTGAAATATTTAAAAGTCACAGGTCTCATGTTCATTTCTAGAACAGGCACGTTGCAAAGTATCACCCCTTAAAGCATGCTTGGGAAACTTACAGCTTGTGGGCCAGTGTCAGGAAGAGGATTGCAGGAAATGGGAGCAGTGGGGACAGTGCCTGCAGTGAGTGCTTCCCTGCAGCCCACAGAGCAACCTGCGCTAGATAGGACTCCAAGCCCCACTCCAAGCCCACTCCTGCACCCTACCTTCCCCGCCCAAACTCTATAGCCCCAGCCCAGCCCAGCCCCCAGAAGCCCATTCTTGAACACTGAATCTCTCATTTTTGGCCCCATCTAATCTAACAAACCTGGTACCACAGAAGAGTTAATTCCACCCCGGGGGTAAACTGTGAGCCACAGTGCCTCTCCCCAACCCCACCAGGGCTAGAGTTTGAGAGGAGTGAAGTAAATTGACTTTTTTTTTTAACATCCTTAGTTTTTACCTCGCTCCTCACTTGAGGGCCAAGTCAGTGAGGGTTTTTGTTTTGTTGTTACTCATTTATGTGTGGTCCCCAACTGATTTTTCTCTGCGTCAATGGCCCCAACCCAAAAAAGATTTCACAACCCTCCCTTAAACTTACATTACAACTGTATGACCAACAAGGAAAGATCATTTCTGTTCCTCACCTTTATTAGCTTCCCAGAACCATTTAGGTTGACCTCCTCTGCCAATTCAGCAGTTCCTAACATATCAGCAGTAAACTGATCAATGTGAGCAACTGGCTTGGTTCCAATTGTCTACAGAAAAAAGTTAAACCACAAATAATAAACAAGCATAATACAGTGTAGTGTACATTTCTATACAATATAGTTGACTCAAAACTACTTTAATTCAAATGTCCTCCCCCCTACAACCTGACCATTTGCTATTTTTCTTGGTGATAAATGGGAAAAATAGTTAAGTATTCTAGAGAGCTTCATATTGTTTTATTCATACCCTATATGCACACACATCCATATTTCACAAAGTTCATGCCAATAAAACAAGCTGTTATAGCCCATTAAAGCTATATAACAATGACAGGATACTGAAGATTAGAATGAATCTTTTGAGTATAGATATCCTTTAGCACAGCTATTTAAACAAAATACTTTCTCACCTTACATATAAATTCAATATCTTCTCTTTCAATATCTTTAATCACCATGATCTTCATTTTGTTCAAGAAATGTAGTGCTAAATCACTAAGAGCATCCCTAAACCAAAAGGCAAAGAAACAGTGAATGCACAACTCTATAAAACCAATATTGCCAGCACATGATTATCAGTAATCATTAGGATTTGTGTCCGAGGTAATAAAAACCTGATGACAAATTTCAGCATTCGCTTATAAAAACTACATAAAAATTGTTTAAGTGTGAGGTGTGACAGAACCTCCATGCTTACACAGTTAGTTTTTGAAATTACACTCCTTTATGTTAATATTGCAGTTCAATTTCAGCTTATGAGTACAGATGCTTTACTTCAATCTAAGAGTTTATTAGCAAGCAGAAGAACTGTTTTTTCTGGAAGTTTGCATACCGTAGAATAGACTTCTGAATGAGCAGCACATTGCATCCAGCCTTTTTAATTTGTTTAACTAAGTTTAGAATGTAAGCTCTCTCCTCACGCAATACTCTGTCCATTTGAGCATAGTCAGAAACGACAATCTGGTTGTCCATCTATTAAAACAGAAAAATATTCCATGTCTTCAAAAATTACTGAAGTTCAGCTCAAATTTAAATACACTTCTAAGTATCCCATGCTGTTTCTATAATTCAGTGTCTACACTAGAATGCTACATCTGAAGAAGTAAATTGCCTGCTACATAGACATAAGAACTATGTCTCTTGTGGGGGCAGAGTTATGTCAGTGTAGTCTGGTAAACAAAACTTACATTGGCTGTCATTTTTATGAGTTTCATGGCTGCTGGGCTCACAGCTGGAGCCATGAAATTTAAAGAACGTTATGCTGGGTAGGCTCCCTGCTGCCACACCACATCCCTCTCTTGCAGCTGTCAGCTAGGGTCCAGGCTCACAGCCAGAACCCCTACCTGGGGTGAGTCTGAAGCTGTGACCCCTAACATGGAGCTCTGAACCAGAGGGTACGTCTAAACTACATGCCTCCGTCGACGGAGGCATGTAGATTAGACAGATCGGCAGAGGGAAATGAAGCCGCGATTAAAATAATCGCGGCTTCATTTAAATTTAAATGGCTGCCCCGCTCTGCCGATCAGCTGTTTGTCGGCAGATCGGGGCAGTCTGGACGCGCCGCGTCGACAAAGAAGCCTTTCTTGATCGGCAGACGGAGGCATGTAGTCTAGACACACCCAGAGACAGCCATGAAACAGACAAGCACCAATTTCACTGCTGGCAGACTCCATGCTATGAAACTGAGCCCATGCCAGCCTGACAGCAGGCAGGAGCTCAGACTTTAAGCCCCATGCAGCTGATAGTACTGCACAGTGCTTCTTTTCCAATCAGTGCTTCAGATGGAGGATGCATATTACCAGCAGGAGGGTAGTGTGGACATCACCAGCTGATTCAATTACTATGATGGCTTTTGTAGTATACATAATCTCAAGTATATATTTCTTCATTGTCTGAATTATATGTAAATCCCCAAGTACTGCACAGTGCTTCTTTTCCAATCAGTGCTTCAGATGGAGGATGCATATTACCAGCAGGAGGGTAGTGTGGACATCACCAGCTGATTCAATTACTATGATGGCTTTTGTAGTATACATAATCTCAAGTATAACTGAATGAGACCAATCTTGGCTTTTTCCACTCTAGTTACACCAGTATTTGCCACCTTCTGAGTGAGGACTAGTCCTTCAACCAATTCACAATCATCAATTGTTCCACTGAAAACAAGAGCAGTAAAATATGAAATTAACATTTTAGGGAAGCATTTCTAAACCCTAGACAAGTTACTTTAACAAAATGGCTAGTTATGGATTGCTACTTACCCAAGCTTTTTGACAATTTTAATATCTCTAAGATCTACACCGCTAGCCGTAGTTGGATCAATCACCTTCATCACTGCATCCACACTCATAGGAGAAAGCAGACTAGAGTACTGAGATACAACCTAAGGAATTTAATTAAGAAATCTAATGTGAAAAGGAACATTTACAAAATTTTACCCAACTGAAAAATAATTCAATTTAGCAGCATTATCAAAGTTAAGATAATACCAATTTCAAAATTACGCTACCAAGACTTTTCTAATTTCTTATTGTTTTTCTTTTGTACTTATAACCATATACAGAGTTTGAAAATGAAATCTGATTTTGTAATTTCCCCCCTTCCAATAAGTAGTCTATCACTGTAGCATCACTTATATATAATAGGTTAGCACCACTGTTAATTGTTTTCTTTATCTTATGTGTAGCATATATTAGGTAAAACATTCAGACTGAAAAGTGATGAAGATTAAATTCAGTTCAATTTTTAGGTTGCAAATTAATGCCAATCACTGGTAGCTTCATGAATTGCCTGCTGGTCTAGTACACCAGGAACAGTTATTGAAATTACGTACTGTCCCAATTATCTGGTATATGTGTATTAGTATCATGAATCATAAAAAGTTCATACAAGAAACACAGTCTAGTTAACAGCAAAGACCTGAATTCAGCTAGTAAGTGGATGAGCTAAAAATCACTGTTTATTGTTTGTATTATGGTAGCACCTAAAGAATTCATTTTGCTAAACACTATAGAAAGGAACAAAATACCTACAAACAGTGGGAAAAATGTATAAACAATACCCATGAACACATGCTATTTTTAATTTACACAGAAGTTAGGCTCAATAACCCTCTCTTCTTCCCTACCAACTAGATAATTATTACCTTTGAATTCAGTGAAGTAGTTGCACTATTTAGCAAGGTTTCCCTGTCGCTCAGTTCAACTGGCTGCCCCATGTTGGTCAAGACTTCAATGCTCTTATCCAAAGCTTTCTGGAATGACTCCGAAATGATGGTGGGATGAATTCCTAATACAAGTTTAAATTCAAGTTTTACAGACTAATTGTTCACTTAACTTTAACATTTGATTTTCTTAATTTTAGGTGATAGTTAATTCCACTTAAAATGCCAATTTAGATTTTTGTACTGATAGTAATCACTTCCATGTAAACAGATTTATTAGTTGTAGTTTATTTGAATTATAAAATCGACAAGCCTCAATTTCACTTATTAGTTCTCATGAACCAGTACAGCTGCCAACAGCCCTGCAGGGCCGGAGCAGCGCTCTGCCCATGGCAGGCTGCAGGTGAAAGACTGCTCCTAAGTAATGGTTAACCATTACCGGATAAACATCACTTGTTAAGGGTGATGCTTACTAGGTAACCTGTTCACATCCCTACTTCACACAGTTATCCAATTGCTGCTGGCATGCTGTTAGTCTTTCTGAACTGGTACAGCAGAACTGCCAGTGCTCACATTTTATACCGCTTTACACATTGAAAATCTTTTACAAGCATTAATCCTCAACAGTCATATGAAATATATATTTTTTTGAAAAACACACAAAACCAAAGTCCAGATAGTTTGCTCAAACCCCAGCAAGAGTTCCTACTTCCCAATGTGGGGTTAATTTATTTCTACCACTATTTCACTCATCATGAATTATTGTAAATACAAGTTCTCATAAGGTATCTTAACATTTTTACAACTATACTTGATCAGTGATATTGGAAGCAGATTCACCCTCAGAAACATGAAGCTAAATTATTTACTATTGCCACCAGATATACAGGCCTTTAATATCAAGTATGGAAACAAAGCTTTTTTTTTCTTTTTTAAAAACACCTTTCAAATCAGTTTAGTGTTCTACCACGAGTAAGTAACACAATTAATGGTCTTTCATTAACCAAACAAGTCTTATTTCAAATCAGTTACATAACATTAAATTCTGGCATTTTCCCTTTTCCAGTTTATTAAAGCCAACCAGTAGTACGTACCCTTCTGAAGAAGTCTTGAACAGGCATCCAAGAGAGCACCAGCAATGATGACGACTGAAGTGGTGCCATCACCAGCCTCAATATCTTGTGCCTTGGCCAGCTCTACCAACTAAAATTAAGACTGTTTGAGAACTTGTGACATAATGTATTTAAACCAGTTACTTTTATGCATTACTGAATCTTAATAAACATGGAAAAATATTAAATATCAAAGTGGGGATTGCTTAGAGGAGATTCTCTTATTAACTTTAAGTATACAGATCAGTTCCTCAACTTTGTGTGTGCACGCATTATCCTATGGTTACAAAAGGTCCAAATATGTTCTGTATTGTTTGTACAGAAGTGTAAGTGGGCTAAAATATGTATTCTGTGAGGTCCATACTACAGGAAATTCCTTGTTTCTTGACTGGCCAGCAACACCACTCACGTTGCCAGTGTGCGTCTCAAGGTATAACAGTAACCCATTGACATTATGAAGAGAATAACAGTGAGGGTGCCTATTTTACTGTCAGATAATCAGCATCTAAGCATCCTCCATAACATTTTCTGTGGCAAACTTGTATTGCGTTACACTCAAACCATCACTTGAAGTTTGGATTTTCAGGCTCTCTCCCCCAGTCTATAGAAAAAACATCAAAGCCAGAACCCCAGTGCATCGCAGACTTGCTGTGCTGCAAAAATATTTTTTTTCTCTCTCTCTCCCTCTCTCCCCTCTCCCCCCCCCCCCCAGCTATGTAAATGCCCAGAATCAGTGATGGGCATGTGGTCCATCAGTGTGGGGCCCACAAGACACTTTGATTACACAGTTCATGTGCAAGGTTGCCAGATTTTGCAGGTTTCTGTCTGTGTATATTTTTTTTACTTACTGTTATTACTTAAGTGGTATGCACATAAAGGGCATATGAACAGAAGTGTATACCACATGCACACAACATTGACTGTAAAAGCCATGCGCTCCTTCTGCATCCCATCAAAGTGCTGCTAGAGTTCAATCAGTACACCCCACAAATTCCAGGTATGCAAATGCAATTAGCACAACTATCCTAACCCGGCAGACCATCTTGGTTACAACAATCTTGCTGCTCACTGAGATGGAGGGCCTTTCATGAAGTCTATGTTGCCCATCACTTCTACCACTGCCTCCTTAAGAGTTCTCTGCAATCTAGGTTGGTTTACAGGTTGATATTAAAAGTAATTTACCATTTTAGCTGCAGGATGCAGAACCTGCATTTGTTTTAGAATAGTTGCTCCATCATTTGTAATTGTCACATCTCCTTTTCCATCTTGAATCTAAAATAGAAATTAAATACTATACATACTTATGACCTTAGTTACACAAGACATTTATTTAGCGGTTTTCAGGCATCTAAAAGGGTGTCACAGGGAGGAAGGGGGAAAATTGTTCCCTTTGGTCTCTGATGATAGGACAAGAAGCAATGGGCTTAAAGTGCAGCAAAGGAGGTTTAGGGTGGACTTAGGGAGGTTATGGAATTTCCATCAATGGAGGATATTTAAGAGCAGGTTAGATAGACATCTATCCGGGATGATCTAGATCAGTGTTTCCCAATTTTATTTGGCCACAGAATCCCAAGGCAGTGGTCCCCAATGTGATGCACATGGGCACCATGGCACCCGCTGAGGCATTTGTGCGCGCCTGCTGAATCATCTGGGCCGTCCCCGGACGCGCAGGCGGCCCTGAAAGGTTGGGGACCACTGCCCTAGGACTGCGTTTCATCAAGAGGGGGGGGAAAAAAGCGCCCCGCTGCCATGATTCCCGCCATGGCTCTGTCTCTTTAAGAGGGGGTAGGGGAATGCCAGCTCTTCACCAGTTGGGATAGCACCATCTAGATCAGTGTTGGTCTGGCCATGAAGGCAGGAGATTGGACTTGATCTCTCAAAGTCCCTTCCAGTTCTAGTATTCTATGATTCTATGTTAAAGAGTCATAAACTACCCGATATTTCCTTTAAACCAAAGGGAATATTAGTACTAAAGTTTCAATGTATTATCTTTTCCAACAATAATCATGTGCACGTAACTAGAAGTTACACCTTGGTGATTAGCAAATTAAAAAACCCAAAAGAAAACTATTCTTATAAGAAAACTTTGAAATTTGTTTACGTATTTATAATATGTTTTTAAAATATTCAAGCACTTATCTCAAAGCTTACCATTTTATCCATTCCTTTTGGTCCAAGACTTGTTCTAATAGCATCAGCAACCGCTGAAGGAGGAGTAAAAATGAAATTATTTTATGCAATTAGTTACTAACATTCAACTTTACAAGTTTTTGTATATTTTATTAGCATCTAAATTAATACTGCAAGTCTGAACATAGTTTTTTCTGTATAGAAAAGGACAGAAAACTTTAAATGGCTCCCACATGAGTTTGTCTGCATCACTATTTAATAATCTTATCAAGGACAAATTTACTGATATAGCATAAAAATTTTTAAGAAAAATAAAGTGCATGGCTTTCATGGCTAATTCTAACACCAGGAATATGTTAAAGACAATCAATAGCTGATTATGTGAATGAAGTATTTTCAAATCCAATGAGGTATTAATGGTATTACAAGCCACACAGATTTAAAAATGCTGAGTGGTTTCACTGGTCTCATAGTGAATTTCAATTAAGGATGTAAAAAGTAAACCCTGTTACTTGGTAATTAGCCACACCCACGTTTACCTGGGAAACAGTTAACTGGTTGGAGCAGACCTGCCACCTGCAGCAGACTGTCTTAATCCCAATTAAAAAGTTAACCCTTTAACTATATAATTTTAAAGTGTTATTTACATTTCAAATTTCAATGCCTTCTGCCCCGGTAAAATGATCAGGCCTTATGACAACTGCCAATTACAGTCCCTTCCCCACCAGATTTTGGTCTTAGCACCATAACAGTTACTACATTAAAAAAAAAAACCTAGAAAAAATGGGGGGGGG